CTTTACTACTTACTTTGGTTCAGTCATCAGGAGTATGTATCAGGGCTAGAGACTCTAGCAGAACGTGGTAGTCAAACCTTATACAAAGAGCCATATGTTACATGAATCTATCTGTCCATCAAAAGGAATGGGTAACAAGAGGAAGAAGGCCCAGATCTGACCCTCCCATTCACAGAACTTCAAGCTGGGAAACATGTCACTAGTTCCAAGAGTTTCTACAAGACTTCAAGCATCTTCCCCTAAATGGTGCCCTGAGAAGTCTTAACCCATCCACCCCCATGATTTGCTCTGCTGGCTGCAGGTAACAGGATCAAGTGCACCCATCTTGACATTATCATACTGAGGAGGCTCAATGCCTTGGAAGGGTTTACTATCCACTTACCATTTCCATCCATAAACTTCTCCAGAAATTCCTCCCATGTTCCAGGCTCTGGGTGCACTTTTGCCATTTTGTAGAAATAATAAAATGAGACAGCCACATCTTTGGCATTTCTGGCCACATAGATAATCTGTTGAGTGGCAAACAAGAATGCTAATTAAGCTGATCTGTATAATCTATTTCATTTCTGAAGACAAAGTGTGAAAGGACATATAGACGGCCTTTCCCCATTACGTTCACGCATTCAATTCTTCTTCATGCATTATTGGTCACATCTCTCTTTTTTCTCACCTTGCAGTTCTTTTCCCAAAAGGATTTGGGGAGCATTTGGACAGGGAGGTGGGTTTTAATTAGACATGGACGGGGTGCTTTCTTGAGCAGTTCAATGCCTGGAAGGGGAAAAAGAATCACTGAAGAGAAGTTTCCCATTCTCCCTCCATCGTTAGCCTATCCAAGCCAGATGTATTCTGGATGAATTAGCCTGCAGATCCCCTAATCCTCAACGAGCATTAGGAAAAGCTACCAGAGATGTCTGCAGGCAAATCTCCCATATTATATGGTTTGCATTTCCCCCATCTCCACAGTTGGCATTTCCATTCCACCTAATACAACTAGACTTGCTCCTCCACCCCTCCCCCACCTCCCAAATAGTTATCTAGAGGGGAGGACTCTATGATGTTTTACCTGTAGGGACATCAGGTACAGCAAATTCCAAGAAAGGAACTCTCATGTAGATGGGTTCAACGCTGCATTTTTCCAGACTGCCTTCTTTGTAGATCATGTCTACAATCTCACTGACCCAGGTGGTTCCTGAAAGCGCATAATAAGGTTGGGTGT